TGATGGTTCAGGCTGGCTGGGGCAAAAAGTGAGAACCTATCCCTCAAAATTACCATGAGCATAAAGACTGGAAAAGGGCTTCAAGTGGCAGAGTGGCTGCCTATGAAGTATGAAGCCTGAATGTTCAAAACTCCAGTATTGCCAAAATAATAATATTTATTGAGTGAATACTATGTGCCAGATGTAGTTTTATCAGCCTGCCTGACAGTCAAGGAGTGTCAGGGGTAATCCCAAATCAACTGCCTCCTTTGACACCAGTGGCACAACAGTATGGCAATGTTAGCACAATAGCATCAAGTTTACTGGAGTTGTTTTTAAAAAATGTATATTGACACAGGATTTTAGCACAGGTAACAATGTTTAACCATTAGGTCATTTTGGATTGATTTTTTTTTCATTCCATCATTCATGATATATAATTTTTCTCTGTTGACAGAATTTTGTTGTCAATTCCTAAGCTCTAAGATTCATTTGGTCAAACAATTTCTGTTTGAAAACATAAGCTAATTGTGCCTGTTACAAATAATAAAATCAGCAGGCTGATAAATAACAAGACCTAATAGCTTTCACTCTTTATTTGACAATTGTCTGGGTCCATTAGTACATCCACATGAGAGGCCACATTACCGTAAAAACATCTATGTTCTATACAAGACGACAGGCCAACAAACTATACCACTAAGGTCTTACAGCCAACATTGATGCCTTCCTGACCAAGTGAAAAAGTGAAAAACAAAAAGTCAATGATGGCATTAAGATCAACAAATTAAACATGAATTTTCCAACATTTAAAATGAATCCTTGATGGCATGTGAGAAAGCAGTTAACAATCGACCAGACTGTATGGAAAAAAGTTACCTGTGAGCCAAGCCTCTTGAGCACTAGGGGCAGACCAAGGGGGGAAAAGCTAAGTGAGAAAGTTCAGTATTAACCAAAACAGTACACAGTGGTTGCTGGAAAATACTGGCCTACACAGGGAGCTGGCTATTTCATACATTTAAAGTCTAAGAGTAAAGAGAGTCTTAACTTCAAGAATGTGGTTATGTATGTTTCTTTAAATCACGGGTTCAAATAGAATTTAATCTATCATAATTTTCTTCCAAAAACACTCCCAATGACTTCCTTTGTGCCTTCTTTCCTTCCATTCTTCCTTTCTTCCTTCCTTTTTCTCTTCCTTCTTTCCTCTGTCTTTCTCCACCTCTCTCCCCTCCCCTCCTTTTTTTCTTTCCTTTCTTCCTTCTTTGTTTTGTTTAAACATCTGACCAGCTTCTCAATTTCTTTGATGATGTTCTAAACATATTTCATTTCCTTACTGGGCAATTTAGACATTTTTGGAGGGCAGTACTGGGGTTTGAACTTAGGCCTTTGTGCTTGCTAAACAGGGTCTCTACTACTTGAATCATGTTCCACCTTCTGTTAGCTTTCAGTACTTTTTAAGTAAGGTCTCACATTTTTGCCTTGGGTCTGTCTTGGACTGTGATCTTCCTACCCATGTATCCTGCATAACTGGGATTATAGTTTCACACCACTATGCCTGGTTTGTCAGTTGACAAACTTTTTGCCTGGGTTGGCCTTGAGCTACAATCATCCTGATCTCTGCCTCCCGAGTAGCTGGGATTATAGGCATATCACTCCATGTCCAGTTCCTAGCATGGACACTTTTATAGGCATCTTTGAAAATATAAGGTAATACCTTATCATTTATAAATATGAAATGTAAGTTACTAGTAAAATATATTTTGAATGGGTTTGACTTTGTTCCTCAGGCATGTAACAAGTTCCAAATTAATATAACTAATGTACTATAATTTAAAAAGTAGACTGACCTTTTCAGGGTGTTAGTTTGTATTTCTGACTCATTTTTATTAAAGTAGAGCAGAAATCTTTTCAGCAATGATAAAACTGTACTTCTTTTTTAATACATTCTTAACATCACAAAAGTACTGATACGGACAAAAATCTGAAAAATTATGCTGCTAATTATGAATCTAACTTAAGGTCTTAAGTTCATAGTTCCAGGCTCTGAAACAAAGTTAGGTCTAAAATAAACTGAAAATTTTAAATCTGTAATTAGAGTTAAAATTAACCTCTCCACAGTCTTAAAGGCAATTAGTTATTATTCAAAGCACATTATTCACTTTAAAGAAAGTCTCAATTAATGAATATTTATGTCACGTTTTTGCTTTCCTTGATAAGAAATATGCTTACCAGCAAGAGGAGGGCCAAGAAGAACCGGGCCACACTCCACAATGGTGGTGAGTCCCACAGCACTGGAAAACTTGGGAGCACCAACCAGGTCCATGAGAGTTTCGAAGAGGACACTGCTAACGCTCCCAAATCCATAGCCAAAAAATATAGCATACACCACCAGGCTTGAATAAGTCTGTGCCAGAGGGCACAAGAGATGGCACACGCCAGTGAACATTACTGAAAAACTTAAGAAGTACTGGATTCGGGGTCGCACCAATTTAGAGTTTGCAATTACTCCTCCAAGAGGCCGAGCAAACATATCAACAAAAGCCATAACTGACAGCAAGAAAGCTGCAGAATACTCATCTATTCCTCTGTCTTTAGCATATGGAGCCAAGAATATAACAGGGGCAAAAAACCCTAGAAACATAATGACATTTCCAGATAGGTAGATCAGAAATCCTCTATGCTTAAAAAGAGAGAAATCCAAATATTTATTAATTTGTTCACATGTTGATTTCTTTTGATGGGTTTTCTTCAGACCTGAATCTTCATTTACACCAATCTTATTTTTAGACTTAGAAGTAGCTCTTTTGGGTTCTAGTGGTCTCATGAGGGCCCCAGCCACACAGGCATGCAAAAATATAGCTCCCAAAATCAAGAAGCTTCCCTTCCAGCCAAAAGTGTTAGAAAGGAACTGATTGAAAGGAGCCAATGTACTTAAGAAAACAGGACTTCCTGCCATGGCCAATCCATTTGCCATCGGTCGTTTCCTATAGAAGTATTTGCCAATTATTGTGAAGGCTGGGTTGCAGGTTGAAGGCTAACTAAACCTTAAAAAAGAACAACGAAAAAGGGAAAAGAAAACACAAGCACATTACACCACTCACAAACACATTACTCTTTTAAGTGCATGTTCTTCCCTTAGTGTGTGACCCATGTCCAATAATATTACTGCATTTGTTTTAGGTCTATAATCTGCATATGAGGCAGAACACATGATTTTGGGCCTTTAGAGCATGGCTAACTTTGCTTAAGATGAAGTTATCTAGTTCCATCCATCTAATTGCGAATGACAGAATTTCATTTTTCTTTGTGGCGCCATTGAAAATTCCAATTGTGTATAAATACCACATTTTCTTAATCCATTCATTGGTAGTGGGGCATCTTGGCTGTTTCCATAGCTTGGCTTGTTTGTAGCATGTGAATAGTGCTACAATAAAACTAGGTGTGCAGGTGCCTTTGTAATAAACTGAGTTGCATTCTTTCAAGTATATCCCTAGGAGTGGTATTGCTGGATCAAATGGCAGATCAAACCTAAAAACTGAATGTGTTTGATGTGCCCACTTTAGAGGAGCAAATATAGTAATCTTAAACTGACAGAGGCCACTATGGGAAGGTGACTGGGAAGTAGTGAAAAGGTCTGGTAGAAATGAGCCAATGTGGGTTGCAAATACACCCATGATGCATGGAGCAATATTAAAATCGCTCTGCATAGGTATCTTTATCCCAAATTAGCAAAAATGCTACTTCTTTCTTATTATCTTTTATGTTTTCTCTTCAACAAAATCTGAGAACAAGAAGATGGAACAGATTCTGCCCAGAATTGCGGGAGGGGTAGTGGCCCAAACAATGTATACACATGAGTAAATCTAAAAATGATAAAAAGTAATTATTTCAGATAATTCAACCACTGAAGTGTAAAAGATTATTTTAATAGTTTCAGAGATTTCTTCGTCACTGACTGTTGTGTTTGCTTGGTAACAGCAATGCCTCTCGTGGATGGAGTGTGTTAGAGAGGAGGCCTGTTCACCTCATAGCAACTAGGAAATGACAAAAAAGAAAAAGAGGGTAGCCTGTGGGTTACACATGTTTGGACCCATTCTGGGTCCTACTCTAATGATGGTCCCTTGTGATAAGCTTGTTAATTTTTGCATATCTTCAGTTTAATTTCAGATATTTACTGAAAGTCAGATTAATATATTAAATTATTTCATAATAATGCAGAAAATTTATGTTCTGGAAATAAAAAAATATAGTGCACATTCAAGTGGGGTAAGCAAGGAACTAAAAATGCACGTAGTACTAGTGTTGGGGAGTATAAATACAAGTGTAATTGTAAAAACTAAAGTGTTTCTCATTACTGCGGTCACCTGAGGGCACAGAAAATAAAAAACGCAAGAACTTCTACCAAATATGTAAAAAAAATCGATAGGAATAGGTTGAAGCGAAGACAGTTATAAGCTTCTTAAAATTATTTAAAATCCCACGATAAAAATTAATCTCTTCCTTTCTTACTATACACTTAGATGCAAAAGATACATAGAATAGATTTTTCTCCTGGTGAACAAGAGTGAGAAATTAGGAATGTTATAAAACTTTCTTTTCAGAGTTGAAAGAATGGACCAGACTAAAATGGTTGTCAGGTGGAACAATCTTTGTATCTCCCCATAGATATTTCTTTCAAAAACTGTGCAAATAATAAAAAAGGACTAATGAATTATGCCCATTAATTTCATTTTACAAAACTCCATATTTCCAAATTTAATGTATATATAACTAAAAAGGTTTTGTTTCCTGCTTGAATATAGTTATTTTAGGATTAAAAATGATGGTTTGCATGAGCCAAAGTCCTGCCATCTAGGGGAAATTCCTCGGTAGTGTGAGTATTGCCTTTTGAGAAATGCAGCACCTTTCGTAGCTGCTCCAAGGCACCATTTAACAATAGAAATGAACAAAATGCTTTTAAAAATTATATAAAATAATTTATATTAGAAGTACCGCTTTTTCCCTAGACCTAACTGTTATTCTATGTTGATTTTAGGGATAGAAGAGCTAAGAATTCGTATGTTTTACTAACTTACCTAAATTGAAATAGCATGCAAGTGGTTTAAGTATCCAAGTTCTAGATACAGAGGTTTATACTTACTCCAAGCCTTTAATATGAGTAGAAAGGCGGTCTCTAAAGCTGAGAAGCAACCAAAAAACATGCTTTGGAGGATAATAAGACAGCATGATATCTAACGAGCTGAACTATACTATGAATATGCAATTAGATCCAATTTGTAAATAACAAAACTGAACAGCCTATAGTCAAATAGCTATCTTAAACAAACAAAAATATCATTTTCCTTTCTTTTACAAAATCACAGAACAAGAGGGCAAACAGTTCCTACCTGGGGTGGAGGGATGGTTGGTACCAGTGGGAAGAGGGAGGAGGTGGGGAAAGTGCATGGGAGGGTGAATACAGTGCAAATACTTTGCACACATGTATGTAAAGTGGAAAAATGTTATCTGTTGAAAATAATCCAGGAATGGAAGAAGGAGTACATAAAGGAGAATTGTAGAAGGGGTGAATTCAAGTATTTGATATAAGACTTTTGTAAATGCCACAATGTATCCCCACCCAGCACAACAATAAAAATAAAGTAAAATAAATTTTGTGTTCCTTGGAAAGTGTCTCACCAAGCTTTCTAACAGTTGCCACGTTAAACAAGAAAAAAAAAAAAAAAGGATTCGAAGGCCAACAAATTCTATGACTAATCAGAAAGTGGACAGCAGCAATTTTTTTTTGTTTTTGTTGAAGTTAAAGTAGTGTATCTAGAAAACATCTCTTGCACACAATTTCTAGCCTATTATCAGTGGTAAGTCAGATACTCTAAATAAGAATGCAGAATGAAAAAAATAAGTTTTTAAAAAAGAAACTGTTTATGGCTGGTGGCATGGCTCAAGTCGTAGAGAGCCAGCCTAGCAAGCACAAGGCCTTCAGTTCAAACCCCAGTACCTCCAAAAAAAAGAAACTGTTTATTTATGCCAGGAGGCTACCTCAGTCGGCTAAAGAGTAACACATGAAGAAGTAAAAACAAAATCAAAACTATTTTCTTTTCAGTATTTATATGATAACATACAATTGTCTGATAACTTTTTCATTTCTTGACATGTTAGGCTGTACCATAGATAGTATATAAATGTACGAGTAAAAATTCTTTATTTAGCACTGTTATTCAAAGAAATTCCCAAAAAAACAATATGAACTACCTGTTATTCATTCTTTTCACAGAGCTTTGCATACAAACCAAGTGTTTAGAAAATAAGCAGAAAACAAAACACAGCTTACCTCCAATGAAGCCCACGGTGAGGTAGAGCTGTATTACACTGGTACAGAAAGAGGCCAGCATCATCGACAAACAGCATAATAAACCTCCTACCATCACCACTGGCCGGCTGCCATAATTATTCACCAAAACACTACTGATGGGGCCTGAAGTAGAGAGATTAAGAAGTACTCAGCTGAGAGACCATTTATTTATCCTTAAAATTTTTTGAGACGGAGGACACACTGACTGCCCCAGGCCAGTTCATTCCAAATTCCGAACTAAAACCAATCCTCCCGCCTCAGCCTCCCAAGTAGCTCAGGGGCTATAATGCACCATCATGGCCTGATGGGGGAGGATTTTTTTTTTTTTTGGTGAGCTGGGGTTTGGACTTAGGTCTTTGCACTTGGAAAGTAGGTGCTCTATCACTTGAGGTACACCTCCAGTCCATTTTGCTCTGATTGTTTTGGGATGTGGTCTCATGAAGTTTTTGACTAGGGTGGTCTTGAACCACAATCCTCCTGATCTCTGCCTCTTAAGTAGCTAGGACTACAGGCATGAGCCACCTGTGATTCAGTCATGGGTGACTTTTAATCATATAAGACACAATATAAAATACAATCAGAAGTCTGAACATTAGTTTGTATGACAACAACCATTCAAATTTTAATGCAAAAGGTTTTCAACAGAAAATAGCAAATTCTAAAATATCTTTTTAAATTGGAAAGCAAGTTTTATTGTGTCAAATATCTTAGAAACTATATAAATGACTTGTCTATAATAAAACTTCATTTTCTAGAATAATATGTATGTATAAAACATATCATTAATTAGATCTCACATTGTTTTTATTATATACAGCTGTGATTTTTCTTTAATACTGTTTCATTGATAATAAGACATTGATTTTATATCCTATTATTTTAGCAAGAAGGATGTTTTGCACTTGTTTATTCCAATAATTAGGGAATTAACAGAGGAATAATAAAGCAGGAGGATTATTCCAATTTCTGTTTACCTGGTGTTATCATAGCTAGTAATGTAGCTACCATGGTCTATGTATGCTTGGGTTTAGTTATTATTTCTCATGACTTCAGTGGACCATGAACAATCTTTTACATTTTAATCAGTCATTTTAAAGAACATCTGGAACAGGAATATAAACATTATTCTAACTTTTGCCTGAATGATATTCTGTTGAACTCATGCTGGTAAGTTCAGAAAGTATCAGCATCACATATTACGAATGGTAGGCATTTAATGAAATTGCCTAGAGAATAGAATCTCTCTGTTTAGACATGGTTCCTTACTGACAAAAAGAAAATCTTGTGTGTGAAAATATGAACACAGGAGGACTAAAGTCAGATTTACCAAATGAATAAGGTTAAGGAATGCCTTGGCAGAGGATTCCCAAGATGGCAGCTAGAGGGAGGGAAAGCAGAAAGAAGCCTCCTTATAGGGAAATCTTGGAGAGGACACCGAAACACAACTTTTGGCGGCCATAATCACTGAGAAAAGGCATAAACTTTTGACCCCTCCACACCTCCAGCCAGCGCAGATAATCTCCACTTCACGTAAAAAACGGAGAGACAAAGGGAGGCTCCCGGCCACTCAGTCGCCGGGCCCAGAACAGCTTGGGAAGAGCAGACCAGGTGAGTTCATGTACTCGGTACTCACACAGACAAGCCTGGCCAGAGCAGCATTAGCCCCCTGGAACAGACTGACCTCCCCCGGGGAAAAAATGAGAAACTGAATACTAAGCAATAAGAGCAATAATGACACGCTGGAAAGATGGTGGGGCACCCTGAGTGCTGAAACTGTAAACTTAAAATAAACAATCCTGGTGGGCCAGCAGGTCTGGTGGGAGGCGGGGGTGGGCGCACGCCCAGCAACCAGGAGCGGGAAGCTTGTAGAGTGGCGGAGAGGAAAACTCACAGGAGAGGAGGAAGGCCCACTTTCCGCATTGAACTGTAAACAAAACATGCAGCTGGCAGTGAGCAGAAGCACTGCCCAAGTAATCAGGAGCAGGAAAGCTTGTAAAGGGGCGGTGGAAGGAAAACTCACAGGAGAGGGGGAAGACCAACCTCCACATTGAACTGTAAATAAACACGCAGGCCTTGACAAACGTGGGTGCAGTGTCACCTTTCCCAGTGCTTGGAAAGGGAAAAGCTTGTAGCAGAGGCTCTTGCACAGAGAACTCTGAAGCAAACAAAGCCTGCGACCAGAGGTGAGTGCTAAGCTCACCCCAGAGATCTGCATAAAAACCATCCAGCAACACAGGCTGACAGCAGTGGCAGGCAAGCCACAGCTGCAGATCATTCTCAGAACTGTCTCCAGACTCTTTTTTTCTTTTTCTCCCTACCTTTGATGAGAGACAACCGAATTACACCTGCAGCTGAAAAACTTACTGAAACTGTATTGCGATTTGAACTTGGGACTTTGTGTTTTTGTTGTGTGTGTGTGTGTGTGTAGTTTTGTTCTACTTTATGCGTCCCCTTTGATGAGACAACTACAGAACAACATCTGAGCACCATCTCCAGGATTGGAGAGGAGAGGACACCCAAATTATTAAGACTGAAACTTTCATTGCATTTGAACTTGGAGGTTTTTTTTTTAATTTTCTATTTTCATTTTATTTTAATCATTTTTAATATATAGATATTTCTTTCATTTACTTATTTTTTATTTTTATTCTTATCTTATTTTTATTTTATTTTCAATCCTCTCTCTGTCTCTCTAATGTCTGTTCAGCTTTACTGTCGATTAGTACACTAACACTCCTGTTTATACTTTGAAATTTTGTCTTGTTTGTCTTTTCTCCCTCTTGTCTGTTATTTGTTTCCCCTTTTTTAACTTCTTTGCTTTCCATCTCAGCTCACCCTTCCATTCTAAATTACCATTGTTATTATTACAAGCTAGAAAATACTTAATTGCACACAGTACAGGGACAGTAAAACAACACCAAGGACAATGAGGAAGACAAAAAACAGGGAAACCAGTTTCCCCACAGCAAAAAATTAGTACAGAACCAGAGGGAATGAAGAAAAACAGAACTCAGATCCAGACTCCAACAAAATGAAGATAAACTATGCCAAAGGACCAATGAAGCCCACAAGAATAATTTAAAAGAAGACATACTACAGTACTCAATGAGAATTTTATAGAGATGATACTGGATAGGGTCAACCAAAAATGTACAGGAGACACTCAAGAAATTCCAAGACAACAAAAATAGAGAATTTGAAAAAGCAAAAGAAGAAATAAAGGAAACCATAGAAGCATGTATAAACACCAAAGTGAAAGAGAGAACACATGATAAAAATAAAATGAACTCAGGACAAAATAGACAACATTAAAGAGGAAACACCCAGGATATGGAAAACCTCAGAAAAAAGAACGAAACAGAACTGCAAAACAAAACAGAAGGCCAATCCACTGGAACAGAACAAACAGAAGACAGAATCTCAGAACTTGAAGATGAAATGGTACTTAAAGGAAAAACTGAGGAACTATTAATTAACTCAAGACCTGTGAAAAGAAAATGCAAGAACTCACCGACTCCATCAAAAGACCAAACTTGAGAATCATGGGCATTGAAGAAGGAGAAGAGGTGAAAGCGAAGGGAATGCGTAATATATTCAACAAAATAATAACGGAAAATTTCCCAAATCTAGAGAAAGATATTCACATACAGATGCAAGAGGCCTCCAGGACACCAAACAGACCAGATCAAAATAGAACTACTCCACGACATATCATCATTAAAACAACAAGTTCAGAAACTAAGGAAAGAATATTGAAGGCTGTAAGAGAGAAAATACAAGTAACATACAAAGGTAAACCCATCAAAATAACAGCAGACTTCTCAACAGAAACATTAAAAGCAACAAGAGCAAGGGGTGAGATCTTCCAGGCACTGAATGAAAATACTTCAACCCCAGGATACTCTACCCAGCAAAACTATCATTCAAAATAGATGGAGCAATAAAAGTCTTCCATGATAAGCAGAAACTAAAACAATATGTGACCACAAAGCCACCACTACAAAGATTCGCAAGGGATTCTGCACACAGAAAGTGAACCCAACTTAACCATGAAAGGCAGGCAGCACCAAACCACAGGAAAAGAAAAAAAGCAAGACAGTAGAGAGTAACCTCAACTTAGGTACACACAATCAAACCTTCAAACAACTAAGAAACTAAATGGACAGGAATCACCACATACCTATCAGTACTAACACTTAATGTTAATGGACTTAATTCACCCATCAAAAGGCACCGTTGACAAATGGATTAAAAAGAAGATCCAACAATTTGTTGCTTACAGGAGACCATCTCACCGACAGAAATAAGCATAGGCTTAGGATGAAAGGCTGGAAGATTTACCAAGCCAATGGCCCCGAAAACAGCAGGAGTAGCAATACTTATCTCTGACAAAGTAGACTTCAAACCTACATTGATCAAATGAGATAAAGAAGGACATTCCATACTAATAAAAGGGGAAATAGACCAAAAGGAAATAATAATCATCAACCTGTATGCACCCAATGTCAACGCACCCAATTTCATCAAACATACCCTGAAACCTAAAAGCATATAAACCAACACAGTGGTTGTGGGAGACTTTAACACCCATTATCATCAATAGATAGGTCATCCAAACAAAAAATCAATAAAGAAATCCAAGATCTAAAATATGCAATAGATCAAATGGACCTAGTAGATGTCTACAGAACATTTCATCCAACTTCTACACAATATACATTCTTCTCAGCAGCCCATGGAACCTTCTCCAAAATAGATCATATCCTAGGGCACAAAGCAAGCCTCAGCAAATATAAGAAAATAGAAATTATACCATGCATACTATCTGATCACAATGCAGTAAAAGTAGAACTCAACAACAAAAGTAAAGACAAAAAACATGCAAACAGCTGGAAACTAAATAACTCATTACTTAATGAAGAATGGATCATCGATGAAATAAAAGAGGAAATTAAAAAGTTCCTGGAAGTCAATGAAAATGAAAACACAACCTACTGGAACCTATGGGACACAGCTAAGGCAGTCCTGAGAGGAAAGTTTATAGCCATGAGTGCATATATTAAAAAGACTGAAAGATCCCAAATCAATGACCTAATGATACATCTCAAACTCCTAGAAA